GAAAGAACAAGTGATATGAAATGTATAAATGATAATGCCCATGTTATGTGATATGAGAGCTAGTGGTATAGTTGGCATGTCAAGAGTCGAGGGTTTACCTATGTTCTACGGAACATATGGACAGAATTACCTATGTCTTTTGAGACATATGGACAGTATACCTATGTTCTAAGGAACATATGGACAGTTTACCTAGGTTCTTCGGGACCTATAGACAGTTGCCGAGGTTCTTTATGACCTCTGGATAGGTCCTTCGGGATATTTATACGAGCTGTGGTGACAGCATAGTGGTGCACAACCTCAATGTACTCACATACCTTAAGTTCTCAAAAGTATACATGGGCAAATACCTAGGATTTTAAGAGAGTAAATAAATCAATTGATGTAATACTATGTGTGCCCTGTTATGAAATGATGTATATGCTTATATGATAAAAATAAATTAGTGATAGTAATATAAGTACCGATAAGCATGTTAATGATGGTATATATGTCTTTTGTTATATGAAATGTTTTATGGTTTCCATTATATGTTTATATGCCTCACTAAGTCAACGACTTAGCGTGCGATTGTTTCACGCGTAGGTTTCGAGAAGAAGAATATTGGTAAAAGTTATACAAGACAGTTTAATTTCTCCTTTCCAAATATCAAATCAGAAAAGAAATGTATAGTATGTATTTTGTAATAAGGATAGTTGTTGGCATGTAAATAAAGGTTTTAAATCCGATATATTCTAATCGATTTTGTAAAATCATATGATTGAGTTTTATAATGTTTTAAATGTGTATATGTAAATGGTAATTTTATACGAATGAAAACTTAGATTTTTTTATGAACTTATACATATTTTGCCGAAATCACTATAGTAGTACTGTAACAGTGCATCGATGCACTGCATTCGAAATTTTGGTGCATCGATGCACTGTAGCACTGTTCATTACTATTCATGGTATTGTTCATACCGTATAGTACTGTTCATAAATACGTTTTTGCCTTAAACTTTTATAATGAAGCATAATTTAATAGTATATTATTGTATTTTCTTAATATGAGTTCAAATATTCAGATATTTTGTAAGAATATCGTTTTTAAAAGTCAATGTGACATATCGTACTCGTATTCGGGTCAAGTACGGGTTGGGGTGTTACAGGTCTGCCTGAAGATGTCAAAGAAAGAGAGCTGCAGAATTTACTGAGATGGCTTCCAGGTTTTGAAGCTTTGCAAGTGAGCTACAAGGGAGAAAAGCCTTTGGGTTTCGCTCTCTTCTCAAATGCAAAATTTGCAGTTGCTGCCAATGATGCCCTTCAGGAAATGGTTTTTGATGTCAAGTTGAAGTCCCTTTTGTACATTGAGATGGCAAAGAAGAATCTAGTTGTTAAAAGAGGAATACTTACAGATTCTGATGCATTTGACATGCATGGATGTTTTCCTGTTCCTCCAGTACTGCCAATGCCAAATCCAGCTCCTGTAGCATTTCCAAGTATTTATGTGACTGTTAAAACTGGGTATTGCGATGAAAAGTCTGCCGCAGATGTTATCCACGATGAAACCAAGGAGTCCACCACAAAGGGGTGCAATAATGACAAGTCTGGATACTACACGTTATTTATTGAAAATTTACCAGAGAAGATCCATTGGAAAAGGTTTGGATCTTTATTTTGCACCCATGGTCGGGTAATTGATGCTTTTATTCCAAATAAAAGAAATTCAAAATGAGTTCGCTTTGGTTTTATTCGCTTCGCAACAATCGAAGAAGCAATGAAAGCGATCTAAAAAATGAATGGTTCTCATATTGACGGCAGCAAAATTGGTGTTTCTTTCGCTAAATTCAAACCTCGACATTCATATTAGAGAAAGTCCTCGACAGCTGTTCACCACAAGTCTGGGCTGGAAGTTGTTTCAAGAAATAATCACTATGAAGTTGAAGGAGTGGTGGACGATGATAAACTTCTCGTACTGAGTAAATGTCTAGTGAGGTGGTGTAAGAACTTTATCAAAATCAGTAATCTTGCTAATCAAATGCAAGCCAAGGGCCTCACTGGTTTCTCGATAATGAGAGCTGTTGGAAATGTAGTTCTAATGATTTTCGAAGACTTTGCTTCGTTGAGAAGTGTAAAGAACGATAAATCAAAGATGACCGGAAACGCGACTGTGACCGCGATTTGAAACCCTGGTATATATTAATCTATCCAGTTATTTCAAGAACAGCCAGAAGAAATGAGGGTAGGCATGTTATGGTTTTTCCATCTACCTAATCCTAATGCCAGAAGCAATCCACTAAAAGTATGTTTACATAAGAATCATCTAGATTGCTAAATAATTTAGTGGAAAACTTTTCACGCTTTCAAGTACAAAATGATATTTGATTCCGGTAACTCTAAGTCATGTTAAAATTTTCAACCATCTCAGGTCAAGCTCCTAACATTAGGGAAAAGGTTATCTTATCAAGTGTAAATGTTTTGCACTTTGAATATGCTCTCACAACAAGTTCTATGTGTAAATAAGGCTTCAATCCGAGTATAACACTGGTATCTTCAAATAATTTAAAAGCACTGGTATGTTCAAATAACTCAAAAGAACAACCCCCAAGGACGAGATTAAAATGAGAAACTGCTCATAGCATACCTTCATAATTGTAAGATCATCCATTGGACCATCAGTGGGTGCACTTGTCACCAATCCTAAGGCATTTCTCAAAGATATCTGCATTGCCGCTTCAATTTCTTTAGAACACTCCTTGGCTGTTGAATTGGCAGCAGCAACTACTGTTGCAACCGTACCCAATTTCGCAGAACCATTCCCACTTAAGGAATTGACAGCCTCTTTGTGGGCCTTAAGAACCAACTGTGCCGCACTATTTTTGAAAAGGAGAAACACCAATCAAACGACAACACCGTATATATGAAAAAAGAGTTTAAAAAATAAGTCTGTAAATCGTATGGTGAGCAAACTTTTTCTGATGACAAGAGATGGTATCAACCATCATCCTCAGACAAGTTGAAAGAAATATAATGCTGTGAAAAGCTAACTTACTGTAAAGTTGATACCCAAGCTCTAGCAGCACCAGGAGTCTCCGCACAAAGAAAGTAGTCATTTTTCTGGGGAGTACCAATATCTAAATGGTATAGTTAAAAAACATGCAAGTTTAGCAACTAAATTTTCCACATAACATAATAGAGAAAACCCTAAAAAAATCAATTATTCTTTCAAAAGTTATTTGGATACAGAAACAGCAGCCTTCGTACTTGGGAAGTCCACTGCAACAAATAAATATTAAAAACAAATATTAATAAAAATTCCCAGTCAAAGAATCTGAACTAAAAGCAACTATCGGCCAAATGAAAAACTAGAAAATAATCTTACTGAAAGTTAACAGGAGATATGGCAATGGTGCTGTTTTCATTGAAGGCCACGATTCCCTTAATAGTAGGTTCATTCCTCCTAGTCCTAAAAGAACAAAAACAGCAGCATTTCTAGTTCAATTTCAATCTCAAGAAGAAAACAAAGAATAAGACCTACAAATAAACTTACTTGTATTCCATTTCTCCCGTTGTGGGATCTAATATCACCCAACGTTCATTCCATCTCCTCAACTGTTAAACCAATGCGAACACACAAACTAAATTACCAAATTGCTTGAAAAATTATCTTTAAAAAATACAAATGGATGAAAGCTATAACTGATAATAAGTAAAATCGAAAAATTAGCTGGAATTAGCACAGTAAATGAAAATTAAAAAATTAACGAGAAAGAGTAGAGGAAGATCGTACGGTCTCAGATCGCTTGAGAAGAGGACCTTGGAGCAAGTTCCTGCTGGAGCCAGAGGCCAGCTGTCGCTTAATCTTTTCCAAACTGTTCTCCATCGTATCCCTAACTCCCTATTCCTTTTTTTTCAAAGAAGAAAGAATGAATTCCAATTCCAATTCCAATTCCAGTTCCAATTATAATTACTATAAGACAGAAGAAAGGGAATTACCGTAGAAGCGACATTGGAAGCCATGAGGGCTCAAATCCGAGGGAAAAAGCTTTGATCTTCAACAGGAAAAATATCCCGTTTGTTGTTGTTTTTTTTTAATTCTATATTTTCATTTCAGTAGAGCTGTTAGGTTTGTCGCTTGGACCGGCAGTTAGGCTATGCCCCCGTTTTCCCCAACTTTCTGTCAATTGCATTTTTTCAAAAAAAAAATCTGTCAATTGCATTTTTTATTAAAAAAATATATTTTTACTTAAAAATATTAAAAATAAATAAATTGAAAGTCACATTTAAAATTTTCAACATAGATTAATTTTTTTTAATAATTAATAAAAAATATCATTTTTTTAGGATTGACTTAATTAGAGAATATGATATTAATTTAAAATATAAAATGACACTTTAAATGATAATTCATGTCCAATTGACTTATTGTATTAAGTTCATTCTTTATATTCAATATATGAATATGATATAGAATTAAATCAGGTAAATAGAACGGCTAAAATTAACTTTAATCTCAATCAATAAATAAATAATTTAAATTCACATTTTTAATATGATTTTACTATAATAATTGTTTTTTAACTCTAATTTTTTTTATAGAAAATGGTGATAAGTCGAGTCAAATTAAGATTTTAGTATAGTTACATTTATTTCAAACAATAAATCCTTTCATTCACATTCAATTCGATCTAGATTTACGAGAATTTCAATCCAAAATCTGACTTAATTTTTAATTAAAAGTTCACACCATATGTGATATATATAAAATAAAATAATAACTTAATTAAAAAATAATATATAAATATATATTATTATAATCATCCTTAAATATATAAATAAGAATTATAATATTACATCAGATTATGTCGGATCGAATTTTTATCTTAAATCAAACTCAATTCGACCTCGTCTTATTGACTACTTGACTAAGACCCAAGCTCATAAGACCGCCACACAACCTAAACCAAATGTGTTGGGCTTTCACTAAAACTCGTACTATATATGTCTCATTTCCAACCATTTGCCCCGTTTTTAGAGTTAGGGTTTTGCGCGAGAAGATAATTAAAAGCCGCCGTGGCCATGGTGAAGTTTCTAAAGCCCAACAAGGCAGTCATCGTCCTCCAAGGCCGATACGCCGGCCGTAAAGCCGTGATCGTGAAATCCTTCGAAGAAGGCTCACGCGACCGACCCTACGGCCACTGTTTGGTCGCGGGGATAAAAAAGTACCCGAGCAAGGTTATCCGCAAGGACTCCGCCAAGAAAACGGCCAAGAAATCGCGCGTCAAGTGCTTCATCAAGCTCGTGAATTATCAGCACCTGATGCCCACGCGCTACACCCTCGACGTGGATTTGAAAGACGTGGTCTCCGTCGATGCGCTCCAGACGAAGGACAAGAAGGTTGCCGCTTGTAAGGCAACGAAACAGAGGTTCGAAGAGAGGTTCAAGACTGGAAAAAACAGGTGGTTCTTTACCAAGCTTAGGTTCTGAGTGTATTGTTCAATTTCTTTATAGTAATATCTTGAACATTTTGGATTTCGAGAACGGATCTGAATCTGTTTGGATGAGATAGTTCTGGGTTTTTATCTTGATTTGCTCATTTCCGTTAGAACTTTATGTGATTGCACTTACTCGGGTGCTTTTATACTTTTTATTTAGCTGTAGAACGATGGATCCGTTTGGATAGTTGTGAACCGAGCCCTTTTTGTTTGGCCATTTTTGTATTATCATTGCTGTTTAAAATCGGAGATTTTGATGCTATACTCGTGTTGCACTATTGAACTGATTGGCTGTTATTTCTGTTGTAATTATTAAGCTGATTCTGCTGTTCAATTCTTCCATGTTTATCTATGGGTATGTTGATTTGATTTTTCGTTAGTTGATTGTGGTTTTGCTGTCTCTTCCTCACTCAAGTTCGTTCTTTTACTCGGTTCAGACAATAGATTAAAATCATAAGAATATATTATACCATTAGTCATTAAAATTAAGGTAGTGTAAAAATTTTAGCACTAAACCTTAAAATGTTTCATTTTAGTATTAAACTTTAGTTTATGTTTCAATTAGGATATTGGGATGATAAACCATTAACTATTCGATGGTATGCTAATATGGTGTTGATGTGGAAGATAAAATATTAATTTTTGTTTCAACTTGTCATATTCTTTATCAAAATTAGGTTTCTTTTCTATCCATTTTCAGTTTTAGAAATTATCATTCCTTAGCGTTTGTTATTGTCTTGTCATGTTTTACCATATTATTAGTTTAGATTTTCTTATAATCTTTTTAAAAAGTCGTGAAATTAAACAACAACAAAAAATCATATTTGTAAGGGTTTTAGACTTATCTATCAGCTACACAGCGAATGCCGAATAATACCTTGGTACCAGCAGAGTATATATATATATCAATAATTCACATCACACCCCAATATAAACGTCCACATCAGAAATTCAATAAAATGACGTCTAAAATTTAATTTCTTCAAATTTATATTAGGGAGTTGATTTATTGAAATTGTTATACAAATTATAATCGTACTATTTTATAAAATAGCAAGGCAATGACATCGATTAAACTGGTCGATTATGATAAGAATAAGGATTCAAATTAACAAAATGGACACAGTGTGGACAAATATAGGTTAATAAAGTGATCAAAAAGGGCTAAAACTGTAACAAAATAAATAAAATGAATTTTAAAGATTAAAATTGTTATTATATCAATATTATCGTTAAATTTTAATAATCGATGATCAAAATAGAAAAAAATAAGCATAATATTATTGATAACCGTGTGCAGAATAAATAATTCGGTGATAAAAAATATGAGAAATGTAATCATTTAGTGACCATTTTAATAGTTTATTAATTTTAAACTAGATAAGAGGCTAGTAACACAACATACCAAAAGTAGTGCTAGTGGCGTCTGGCAACTTGGGTACTAATTTGTCAGTTATTATGTAGCCAGTTTTCATTGTATTCTCTTACGCTGCACCCACGAATAATTCCTTCCCATTATTTAGCCTCTGAATTATTATTATTTTTCACTTTCGCACTTCCTTTTCTCATATTTTAATCTTTTAATTATATTTTTTCTCAATTCATCCTAAAATAATTAACACCGCACAAGGGAACATGTAATTATTAGTCACATTGTTGTTGATAATTTTACTGTTTTAAATAGGTCGAAATAAACCATTTTAAATACTACAGTGAAAAATAATATAAGTTGTATAGTTTGTTTCTCGTTTTTTGCTTTTCCTTTTTCTTTTTTTTTTCAAATGTGTCCCTTAAAGTTTCGTTCCATCAAAAGTTTTGACCCTTTTGTCGACATCGTTAAAAATTATAGGACATTTATACAATTAATGAGTGTCGTATGAAGGATCAAATTAATAATAAAATAATAATTTAAAAGTTAAAATGGAAAAAAAAAACATAAAAATATATGCAAAACGAAATTTAAATTTCGACAAGTTCATAGTATTTAACCATCACGCTTTTAAGTATGGGCACGAGACCATAGATTTCAATTCAACTCGATTTAATTAGGTCAGATTTTTTAAAATAAATAAAGTTTGAGTTGGTTTTATGGTAAAAATATACAATCTAATTTGACTCGAAAAATAATATAACCATATCTTATATATTTGGGGATAATTACAATAATACTTCTATTTATATTGTTTTTTTACAAATAAATTTGTATTTATCGAATTAAATTAATATTTTTTATAAATATATTTATTTTAAGTCAGGTCGGAGTCTAAGTCGAATTTCATCTCGAAACAGGTCAATTTCGGATAGGGTCAGACCACTCTAACCTCGAGTCGTATCAAGTTTCGGAATAGAAGAATTATAATTTTGAATCAGATCGATCAAAATCCCGACCAATGCCCATTCATACATGCTTTTGCTTTCTTATTGACATGATTTTTACACCAAAATTATCGTTGTATTTTTAATCATAATTTATAATTAATTTTTTCAAAAAAGGGAAAAATCATGACATCGATATAGAATCAAACTCCTATATCCAAATCTTTAAACATCATTTAGCATTTCAATTCGTTAAAAAAACACCTCGAAGCTCTTAAAACCGGTCGAAATACAAAAAATAATAATTATGAAAGCAAAAATAATGTAATATATTTTAAAGCTTTTTTTCGTTGACATTTAATTTATTCTTAATTTGACTATTTATATATCGCTTATTAATTGTTTAATATTTAATTACAATATAATATTTATTTCAAAATCTTTTTAAATTATTGACGACATATATATATTTTACATAATAGTTACTTAAATATAAAGCATTTAAGAAAAACAACACTCTCTTTTAACCCTCCCTTTCTAACTACAATAATCAAAGAGACCAAAATTATTGAAAAATTAGAAGGATTAAAATGAGAATTTGATCTAATTTGAGGGGTAAAAGTGTCTATTAAACCGTAATATATTAAATATATTTTTATAATAAAATAATGATAATGAAGTTATAAAGTCCAGCTCCTTCGATGAAATCATAAAATATAAAATAGGGATAATCTACAAGGATAAGACCTATCGACGTCCTAACATAAATGACAAAATGTTCATCCCCTAAACAACATCCCCAGAATCATTTAGCTTAATTAATTAACTATTAACTACCCTAATCCTTCCACTTAATCAAACAGACTTAACGACAGCCTCCCCATGCACCTTACGATCATCACATAAAATATTATTTTTAAAAAAGGGTAAAGTATATAAATGGTCACTGGATTTTTTAGATACTTGCATTTAGGGTCTCTTAACTTTTAAAAATTATAATACAATCACCAAACTTTAGTTTGTTTACAATATGGTCCCCAACATTACGGCTGTTAGGGTAAATTATATGAATGATCACTAAACTTTTAAAGCATTTGCATTTAGGTCTCCCAACTTTTAAAACTTGCAACACAATAATCAATTACATTCTATACCTCAAATTCCAAAAATATTTCAATTACATACCCAACCCCAAATTCATAATCCATTCTCAAAAAATACAATAACAAATTGAACTTGAAGCAGCAACCCTACACCTTCAAAACATAACCTTAAATATTAAATTTCCCCTACAAATTAACCCAACATAATCAACAACATTTAGTTCATTTTGGGTCCATAACAATAAGTGATTATGTTGGGCTTAGGATTTAAAAATTAGATTTAACCAACTATAAGTGAACAATACTCAATTCGATTCGAAAAAATTATTTTTCTACTTGAATTGATTCAAAAAATTTGATACAAATTGACTTTGAGTTGTAATTTCATAAACTCAACTTAAAAAAAACCAAGTTAAAATCTAGTTGTAAAATACAACTCGAATATCTCAAAATTTTTAGTAATTAGTTGTATCAATTCGACTTGATTTAAATTTTATAAACTCAAATAAAAGAATTCGAGTAAATTATTTTATAAACTGAACTGAATTAGAATCAAATAATATTATAATATGATAAATATTTATAATTAAATTTAAACAGAAACTCAAAAATTCAATTCAATTCAATTCGGCGTGATTAAATTTTATAAACTCAAATCGAAAAAATTTCGAGTAAACTATTTTATAAAGTGAATTGAGTATTTAGGTCCAACATACCCCTCAACCCTAAACAAACATAATCACTTATTGTTCACTTATTGTTGGTTAATTTTTCTCTCGAAGTGATTATGTTTTGAGGGTTTAGAGTTGCTGTTTCAAGTTTAGTTTGTTATGGTTAATTTTGAGAATGGATTATGAATTTGGAGTTGGGCATGCAATTGAAGTATTTTAGAATTTAAAGTTTAGAATGTATTTGAAGTATTTTGGATTTTAGGGTTTAGAATATAATGAATGAATGTGTTGTAAGTTTTAAAAGTTGGGGACCTAAATGCAAGCTCCTGAAAAGTTTAGTGACCATTTATATAATTTATCTTAACGAAAGTAAAACGGCCATTACGTCGGAGACCATATTACAAAGAACTAAATGTTTGGTGACTGTTGTGGAAGTTTTAAAAGTTTAGGGGCCTAAATGTATATATCTTAAAAGTTCAGTGACTCTTTATATACTTTACTCTTTAAAAAATTAAGACCAAGAGATATTTTCTTTCAGTTTCTCACCTCCCAAACAGGCCCAGCAACTTTCAATCTCTGACACATCCCTGCAAAAAAAAAACTCTGTACAGAAAAAACTTTGGTTAGTCCTCTTCAAAAGATATTTGTCCCTTTTCTCCCAAAAGTTACTATCCTTTCGAATCTATTCTCTCTCCCTTCCTCCCTTAACCGATCATGCTTGAAAGCTTAGTTCCTCAATCTCCAATCAATTCCAACACCAGCTCCAATCCTAGCTCCTCCATGAAGTCAAAGCGCGTCGAAAGAGAAGTCTCCGCTGCCCCCGGTAAAGATTCCGCTGCCGACAATCCTTCTAACAAGCGTCCCAACTACTCCTCCGGTGATAAGTCGGTTGTCGATGAACAAGAGGAAACGGTGTTCGAAGGTGAGTCCACGGCGCTAAGGCTCTTAGGTCTCCTTCTCCAATGCGCCGAATGCGTCGCCATGGATAACCTCGACGACGCCACCGATCTTTTACCTGAAATCTCTGAGCTGTCTTCTCCGTTCGGTTCGTCTCCCGAACGCGTCGGCG